GTCAGTGCGACAGAATGGCCCCTCCCCCCTTTCCCCTTTCCGCAGGTAACGCAGGGGAAGAGGAGGGGGGGGAATCAACGAGGTAAAGTCGTCGTCTTCCCTTCATCTCTCCGCCACCCCCCTCCCCCCTCTCTCTCTCGACCTACTTCGTCTCGCGAGTGTTGCTGCTACTATGAAAAGAGCCATTAAATTTTCGTGAACCGCGCCCAGCCTAGCAGCGTCGTCGTTTGCCGCTGCGAACGTATCGTGGAGGACACCCACCCCCGCACCAACTCTCTCTCTCTCTCTCTCCCTCTCAGTGGCTTGCCCATAGTTAATCGGGAGCCAGGATCTCCACACGCGATCCTATCACCTCCTTCCTCCCTCCGTGTCCGACTCTCCTTCGCGCCCCGCGGCGCCGGGCCCAAAGTCTCTCTCTCTCTCTCTCTCTCTCTCTCTCTCTCTCTCTCCCTCTCTCTCCTCTCCGCATGAATGAAGTCGCGATGTGACGGCAGCAGGACGCGCAATGCGCGCGAAATATTTAAAGCTATCAATAACAAGTGTGCCAACAGTAGTATAAAACACTAATTTGCATGGCGCGGAAAAGAAGCGGGCAAGAATAAAAGTATACAGGTATAATAGTGTCACACTGTCGTACTCGATTCGGCCGACAGAGCAAACGGTTCCCGGATAATATCCGCTGTCACGGACACCATCTCATTTTTCGGTCTCGGTTCAGCAGTTCTACGCCACTGCTCCCACCCCCACCCTCCCCCGATCTCGCGGTCTCACGCCAGGCGACCCGCCCACCCCTCGCCCCGTGGAGGACCAACGCGACGCGCCGACCTGTTGCTCTTCCACACGAGGGGAACGCCGGTCTCGATGTGTCGGGCAACGTTGTTTCGGTTTACGGGTTTACAGATTTAAAAAAAAATGTATTTAAATCAATGCACTGTAGCGCTGCAATACTATTTTTGACCGCCGACTAAACTAACTGCAGAAAACTCAATAGATTTGAGATTGAAATCCAGATTTTAGCCCCCCCCCCCCCCCACACACACGTACACGGCACGACCGGAGGCAGCCCTCACATAATCATATCCAAATTGTTTCCGTTCTGCCGGCGGGCTGCCTCTCGGGGGGACGGGGGTCGTCCTCTTCCCGAAAGGCACACAGTCAAATATATAAAAATAATAAAAATGAAAAGAAAAATGAACATCGGCGGTTATGGTCCGAGGCGACCAATCACGGCGCGGCCCGCGGGACTTTCGCGGCCGCGAGGAGCGTTCCGATTGGCGGCCGGGAATGGGGGGGGGGGGGAGTTAGATCCGCGCGATATGGCAGCTCCGATCAGCCGAGTTTGGAACATAATCCATTGTTCGGGTGTGTTGAGGCGGAAGCCGCGACCTCCTGTTGGTGGCGAGAGAGGGATCCCGGACCAATATCCCGTCTCTCTCTCTCTCTCTCTCTCTCTCTCGCGGCCCGTGACCCCACCACCGCGACATTGTCCCCCGCGCCATACCGCGCCGTTCGGCCCATTCCAGCTTCCTGATGGACCAGGATTCGCCTATCCCGAGGCATAAATTACAGAGAGAGAGAGAGAGAGAGAGAGAGAGAGAGAAAGAGAGATCAAATGGTAGCGGCAGGACTTATTCGTCACCTCAAATACCTCCCGCAGCGCCGGGACACAATGGGGTGGGGCGCCGACCGCGCACCGCCGTGCGTGTGTGTCGTCCTACCCGTCAAACCCTTTGTCATATTGGCTAGCGCAGCTGCCCATCGCCAAGGGTGCCTATCAGGTCCATACGGTCCCGTCGTTGGTCCCCATAATATAGGCCCCCCATAAGGACCACCGTAAGGTCCATCATAAGGTTCGCCATAAGGTCCACTATAAGGGCCACTATAAGGTTCACCATGAGGTTCACCATGAGGTCCACCATGAGGTTCACCATGAGGTTCACCATGAG